TAAGTAAAATGCTTTCCACGTGGAATAAATTTAAAATCAATTAAATCCTCCCTAGATTTCCGGAAGAATTCATCTTTTCAATCGTAATCATTTAGTTTCCGGGAGAATAAATACACATAGACAGTTGAACGCATTCGACTTATTTTGCAGGTTCTGTCAATGGCCAGTTGGTATGTTCACTATGTAGAATGAAATTTAATTTATAGAAAAAGTTTTCGAAGCGTGACACTATGTAAAGTATCACATAATGTAATAAATTGAAATGCGTGTCGCATACACGTTTATTAATTAATTTCGAGAAATATATTATTTGAGTGATGAAAGTGTTTCGCGATTGACGATAGTGAAACATCGAATCACCGTGGAACTTGCCCACAGCGATGAGCCGTGACCAGATCCCTTTGGGATACGCGGATTATCGACTCCTCTTGTGACCAACCAAGACTTACACGGAGCGAAGAACTACTTTTGCTCCTTTTCTGCACAATCGGCTCGGGAATTAGGGGTCACGGTAATTACGTACCGGGAACACTGCCTTCGAATTCCATTTAAGAGAACAGACTTGGAGGAGTACAGTAAAAATACTTGAATTTTTTTCACTTGCCAAAACGTTTAGCTTTCGTATGAAATTGTTTTGAAGAAGATAAGGTACGAAATCAAAATGAGAAAAAACAGGGTATAGGAATTGTGTTTAAGATGTTTGGGTAACTTCAATTATTGTCACAATTTTCTAGACAATTTTAAATTGATTCTGACACAGAAATAAAATAAAGGATTTTCTTCTTAAATGAATGTGTGATTACTGTAAGAATAAGTCAAGCGATTCATACGTCACTAATAAACTGTAGAAGCATCAGAACGATCGGTTTAAATCTTGTTTTAAATTTGAAAATGAGATAAAACATCGGGACGATAGATCTGGCGTTTACCGTTGCTCGAAGGGAATCGTCTCGAGCTTAATTTTATCGCCCGTTACCAGCGTCTCTCTTTCTCCCGGTTCTTCACGATTCTTTGCCGCCGCGAACACGCATTCCTAGTAAAAATAAGCGAGTTCCCGCGGCTGGGCTTTCTGCAATCACCGGCCGACGGTTGATGCGAGCTCGTGATGGTTTTACAAAGCGAATCAGTTAGCCCTGGCCATTCGCGGAAACGCGGACAAGAAACGAGTAGGTGACGGCTCGAGATTGCCGTCAGCCAGGAAACCACCGTGAACACCGAATACCAATCCCAACCCTTTCACAGTGTAATTGACGATACAAAAAACTTGGCCAATTTCATTGGGACTGGTTTTAAATAATATTTTGTAACACTGTGATTTTTTTATTGACCCTCTTTTTCATTTTTCTCCGCCGGAACAGATGAAACTTGTTTTTGTAATTTTCTAAAGTGACACCACTGATGTCTTATCATTAAAAAAATTGTCTATCAATTACATTGCGCACAATTTATTTGTGTTACGAAATTCGAATTGAATCGCAATAAACTGCACCCGAGGGATTTACGATCTACGATTCCCTTCTCGATCGCAGCCTCGATAAGATTTAAGCATCAAAATTTGCGGAATTCTCGTAAAGACACTAAACCTTGAAATTGCCTTAATAAATGTAATATTCGAGAAATGTTGTAGGCTCTTTGAATTAGAGAGACTAAACGGCTACCGAAAATGTTTGATAGCGGCTAAGAAGCCTCAAATCTGGTTAAGTTCTACTTTCCATTAGTTTATGAATTAATTTAGGTGGAAATAGTTTTTTGTGCGATTTACTGTACGATTTATTTAATGCTCTGGTATGATAGCTCAATGAAAATGTTTTCTACTTTTTAACATTTGTCAGTTCTCCTCCTGAGCATCGTGAAAAGTGAAATAGAATATTCTATTCATGTAAAAGCTTTCATTCCTGGTTTCAATTATTAATGGATATGAACGTAAATGGATGTTGGAAACATTTTTACTGAAGACCGTATAAATGATACGAACTTCCGATTACGGAACTCTTCCAGCATCCCCATATAAATCTTTTATTTCGGAAGAGGTTTAAAATAAGATGAATAATGTCGTCCGATCGTAAATCGGGAGGCATGATCTGCGCGTCTATCGTTGGAACTCGTGTCTCGAAATTATTATATTTCACTCGGCATCGCTCGGCCTCTGTCAAAAGCTGGAACACGAATGAATATTGTTGTAACATTAGACGTCGCGATCGAAGCGGAAAAATTCTATGAAAAAAAACCGGAAAAATTCTATTTCCTGGGGGAGACAATTGACGATATTCCAAAAGCGAACAGAGACAGATGCACACTGAACTTGGACCTTAATTTGTTTCCGACCTTGGATTTGATTCGTTTATAAAAAAATTCACGAGCAAATATTTTTGAAGACTGAAAGAGTATCACAGAACTTTTATTTCCCAGTCTAATAATAAATAGCATGTGTTTCATTGATTTTGAAACATGTATGACGTAATACTCACTAAAATTGTTCCAAGTGGAACAATATTTCCTGTCAATTAGCGAAGTAATCATAAAACTGAAAGTCGTTAAAATCAAATATGACCTTAATTGATAATAAAAGTATTTTCGTTTTTAACTGAATCTAGTATAAAATGTTAAAGTGCAACGAGCAAAGGTCGACGCTATCACGCGTTTCGAGTGCATTTTTCAAAATTGTATTTTTATATGATGTTTTCGCATGTTAAACGCACATAGTTTCCCGATATTTGCACTGACAACGAGCTCTCTTGTCACCGGTAAGCCGTCGTTAAGAAGACAGGAATTAATCACTTCTGTTCACTTGGTTCGATAACGCCTCTACTCATTTCAGTTCATGAATTTTTCGTATTGTTATTCAAAAGAATATTCTATAAAATCGTTTCTTTGTACTCTTTTCCATTTGTTATTCTGAACTCAGAAATAACAGAGGGAAAAGCGTACATCTTCTGGTTATCATGAAAGGATAAAAAAAATATGAGTTTTATTTCTGACACAAATTTGAACAAGAATTTTTGTCAATATTTTCGACCGAGAACACATTGATAATAACTGGCACATTCATCGTTCTCCTCGAAGGAGCATAATGGAAAACCGTGATAACGTCAGAATACGCTTCTTGTTTCATTCCGTAGCTTTTCTTTCGTGATCTCCAACGACATAAATTTCGTCGCGAACATCTAGGGATAAGAAGACGATATATCACCCAAATACAGAAACTGCAAAACTGCGACTGTACAAATATAATCTTCTATACATTCAGGAGGATGGTGCCGTTTAAATTTTCGTAGAAAAATCACCATTCACAAGTTCATAAATCTTAGAATACGTTGGAAAATATGAATAAATAGCTAGAATTTTGATCAATAATTCGAGACAGATTTCTTACATCAAATTGCAATACATTACAGTGTTACGTAATTACGATTGAATGATTTATTTGATTTATTTTTCACTATAAAATTTCAATGAAATATATTGGAGATTCTTCTAACGGCAATAAGACTTCCAAAGGATGGAGTAGGTGTTTTCGGTTGAGATTCATTGGATCTCGGTTGACTGGCGCCTGTCCTCCTCCTCACTGGAAAACGACGCGGTTGAGATTTTTCGGGTGGGACACGTGTCAGCGAAACGGTTAGAAACGGAACAGGTGACAAGACGTTTCGTTCAGTTGACGAATTACCGTAGACACCACACAGGCGCCCGTTTTAATTTCGATCACCACGTGTTTCAGCTAGACAACCCTTTTCCGAGATTTAATATTCGATTCACCGCGGACGCACTCAAATTACGAAATATCCGGGAATAGAGCCGCAAGAAATATGCCTTCCGAATGGCGTAATCAAAAAATTATAGTCACTCGTTCGGGGTACACACTTCCAGGTGGTTATTACCTATCAAAAAGTCTAACAAATTAGTAATCGTCAAACTTGTGAAACGAATATAAAATAGCAGAAATACAAGGTAATTATAATTGACAGCCTATAAGACAGGACAGGTCAGACAACAGAAACTAGTGGAGTAATGATCGTCTTGATCATTCAATTTGGCTTATAATCAATTCTACGTTTGTGAATTTCAAGTAAGTTCATATCCCGATTGGATGGTAAACGCATTATTTACGGCATAGATCATTTATGGGTGCGCGAACCGAAATTAAAGGAGACCAGTCATGCAACTCTATTCACTTCAGTTACCCGGTACACATACCCTACGCGAGAGCACTTAGCATACGTTAAACACAGTTCGCTTACAGTGTTACTACACTAAATGATTCGTAGCATCAATAAGACTCGCTTACGAACTTAAGTGCTCCCTTCAATCATTTTGGGATTGTTTCTGTTCCCGTTACACGTTGTTTAAATAGAGCGGGATTTATTATTTTAAAACTGATCAAATTTTCCAAAATCGGACCAAACAACCCAGTTTTTATTTCAATTTTTTCAAA